TAACACACCATCATCAACACATTTCTCCTTATGCCACCTCATATCTATAGCTATATTGCTAGACATAAACAACCTTTGAAGCCTAGGCATTAAAGCAAAATATCGTAAAGTTTTATGGGGAATCTTCTTTCCTTTACTATCATTAATTTTCCATCTGGAGGTACGATATTTAAGGCAAGATTCATGAGATTCATACTCTTTTCAAAATAAAGCACAATCATATTTACAAGCATGTATAGAGATATAACCTAATCCTAACTCACGCAACATGTTTTTTGTCTCGTAATAATATTTGGGAAACGTCTCGCCACTTGGTAAAACTTGTTTAAGTAACTCAAGCAACATGTCAAATGATTTATTGCTTTACTTATTATACACCTTCAAATGGAGTGATTTCACTATGAATGACAATATGGTGAACTTTGAACAACTTGGATATAATTCTTATTATGCTTCACATAATAATTTATCAAAAGACTTGGCTCTATGGTTTGTCTCATCTCTTATATAATTCCTTCTAAAGTTTTCAAAGTCATTTAACATCTCATTAATTCCATCATCCTCTTCATCATCATTAGGTGTCCCTCCAATATGAAAGTCATCATTATGGTAACTAGAACTAGTATTAGATCTAACATCAAAATTAGAGTGTTCCCCATGATAGATCCATAAAGTATAATCCGTATCTATCCCTCGAATTAATAGATGATCATAAACCATATTTTGACTCTTCACATAAAAATTTAAACAATCTACGGATGGGCACCTAATTTCACACTCTCTCACTAGATTTTATTCCATGAACTTCATAAAAGACTTAACTCCTTCTATATATCGAGTCGACCATTTTCTTTCCTTCATCCAAGCCTTATCCATTGTTAAATACCTATCAAAAAAGACCAAATGCATGCTTTAGCAAGTTATAATGCAAACGTGAGGTTGTCTTTCAATTCGGTCTCCAAACAAAATAAAGACTAATATGACAAACTAAGTATAGATAAAACCTACAAATAAGAACCTCTGTTCGGAAATTGATGCAATCGAAGAAAAAGCTAGTAAATATACGGAATAATTGACACAAAACTACTAAAAGGGAAAAGGGAAAAGCATTCTTCAGGAACGGCTACATCTCCAATTAAGCATGAAATAGAAGCACACATAAAAATAAAGGAAAGTTCAACATACAAATTGAACAAGAATTTATAAAGCATAAAATAGAAGCATACCTCAACCAAGCATAAACCAAGAAACCTTTTGATAAGTCAAAGAAAGTAGGTGAATTACTTGCTCAAACCCCGCATCCAAATATTTTATATATATATATATATATAAGAACAAAACTACATACCTAAACACTAGCCTTTTCTTATTATAACTCTATTACCGAAAAAAGGCAAACCCAAACACAAATGTCTTTCTTCTTTTTTAATTAAAAATCCCTAATCCGGTAGGTGTTAGGGCTATAAAAGTAATCAAAGTTAGAAGTCCTAGTGTGGAAACCTTGCACTCCAAGTAAGCTCGCAGCGAGGATGCATGCTTGGTTCGCGACGAGCTCGCTCTGAGTGCAAGGCTTCCACGCTAGGATCTGAAATTAACCATTATTTTTTGAAAAAATAATGATTTAGGTAGATTAGGCATGAAATTATTATCATTTATGTGTATATATAGATTGTACTCAATCAAACATGACAAGCATAAATCAATTTAATTATCATCCTAAACCTACCTAATCTTCTAATCATTAACAAGGATGCTTGATGAATATATATTATTGCAAAGTATAGAGAATTTGAACCAATATAGTGAAATAAATTCACTCACTTAAACAAATAAAACACCTTACCAATTGCACTTTCACGGCTTTGTTGATGTTAGAACCACATCAATCTCCGAGCTTTAATACTTGTCGCTCCCATCCAAAATAGAGGCTACTAAGAACAAACTTTCGGGTTACGCTATATCAATCTCGGGAGCCCTAATATAAGCATTAATCGAGTGAGATAACCATAACCAAAAGCTATTCCCAACATTGCATAATCATTCTATTAAAAGCAATTGGTAAGAAATTTATTAACAACAACCTACGGCTATAAACAACGAGCAATACATATAGACTAATGTATAATTGGTAAGAAATTTATAGTGTATAGATTTCAATTATGAAGTGCTTCCTATAAGTGTCTAATGACCAACCTAGAGCCATAAACAATAGCCATACACATAGACTTTGGCACCACCAACAACAAATCCAATAGGTAGCCCAATTCCGAGTACAATATAATTAGTTTCGAAATTTGTAAAACATTATAGTACTTTCCCCTCATTTTCACATTTGTTAAGGCAAGATAAAAAGCTACCGATCATGTAGTAGTTATTAAGAAAAAACAAAATCAAACATGTCTTGTTGCTATAGCCGAGCTTTATCACCTCTTACTACGAATTGGAGACAACGAGCATTTGTTCAATAGATTACGTCCATATTTACGAGCAATTAATAAGGCTTCATGATGCACATAAAGCTTTTCTCATTGCATGTTTCGTTGAACTTTTTTGGCTCGTAACACTCGCCACTTCCAATCAAAAGACTAATGTTTGTTCTGTTTATGTTGTTATAGTACTAGGGCTTGAAATATAACTATATAAGGTAGATGGTGATAGAAACATTTGATATGGATCATTTTTTGGATGAACATTCAAAATATAGGAGATGCTTGACAAGTAGTTGGCATGGTAGGTGAGCAATTATGTCCTTAAGGAGATTCATTTCATTTTGTCTTTGGCATTGATACTTTTGAACATATGTTATGTTCCAAAGCTTTTTCTAGTGAAGGTTGAAGAAACCAATAATCAATGACTGATCCAACAAGGCCATGAACATCGAGTCCAAATAGCAGAATAACATGTCCCTACCATGTGATAAAAAACATAAAACGGGCGTAATGAACCTTAAAAATTTTGGTTAACCATTCACTAGTTAAAATTACAACCGATAGAGCCCAAGTTTCTTCTCAACGGACTCGTTTGTTAAATATATGGATAAGTATAATTGTGCTCGTGAGCTCTAACCAACACACCTAAAAAGGTATCCATGCCCAAATCTGGGCACTCGAGCATGAATTAATGTCAAAATAGTGTTGAAGCATACCAAAACATAAAACTGGATAGCAATCCATTGTACTATACATTATCAATAGGAGACCCGGACTATGTCCATTCGTACAATCCTCAAAAATACATTACCCTACCCAACATTGAGATTGCAAAATGCTAATTTTTTCAATATTCTCTTAGTATTGTTCTTCTCTAAAAATTTCTTAGATGTTCGAGTGCAAGGTTAGGAAAAAATCATAAACATAAGAATAATAAGAAATACGAGTACCAATGAGCATTGAATACAAAATGACAACGTCACGATAGATTAGAAAGAACATAAAAGGTAACTTGATTGCCACAAGTCCGTTATTATCCCGGGAAGATCAATCACAACTGACCTATTGCGGTAAATATCTCCGTTGATGTTGTATTACCCACCATTAATGTATCCGACTTGAATCGAAAGAAGAGAAGCAAAATTGACGCGAAATCACACTCGAGGAGATTTAATTTTTTGGTTGTTACTTGAAGGATTGTGGGTTATGCCAAAGATTTGAAAGGAAAAGAATGAAACAGATCTGCAGTTGACTAGTAGAGTCTTTTACCAAAAATAGGGGTATATCTTTTATTCGAAACATAGGTGACGTTTTAGTTTTGTCCTTAAAGATTTAAACATTTTTGTACAACTTTTTTTCGTCCCAAATAGATGTTTAAATAAATAAATTTTATCCTTAAATAACTTAACATTTAAAGACATATATTTTCGTCCCTAAATGGAATAATTCGTCCTAAAATAATTACATTTCATAACAAAGAGGCGAGGACAAGTCGGGCACGTTGAAAAAATTTGGATGCCAATCATTTAAGGACGAAATTTTTATTTCATCACGAAATATTACTATTTTGGGACGAAAATAAATTTGTAGGAAAAAGTTTCGTGGCTAAATTTTAAATTTGTTATAGTGTGTAACGATGACGTGATGCATCCACTTCGAAAATGTAACACATATTATAAGTAGAATCTTAATAAAGGATTCAATCAAAATATTTCAAAAAGTATGAGACTTCAAAAAAAAAAAAATCTTTAGAGTTTTACGATGATGGAATTTCACATAGAATGCATGTTACAACATTCAAGATGAGATCTTAAAAATACAATAATATAAGAATTAAAAAATAATAATAATTTGAACCATACACTTTTTGAATTGTTGTTATTTGAAATTTCATACTCTTTATCGAATTATTTTGAGCGAATTTCTCTATTGAAAAAAAAATAAAACATGTTTATTTTTTTAAATATAGTATGCCAGTTTTAACAAACCAAATCTAGTCAGTTTGGGACAGGTTTTTTTTTTTTTTTTTAGTGTGAGCGTTTGCTCTAAACTATGTTTTATACAGCATGTCTAGTTTTGCTTAACTTAGAGGGCCACCATATCAATAAATTTTTTAACATTTCCCGAAAGAATTCATCCAGTGGATATAGAAACTTTTTGATCTGAATTGATACAAATATAAACCGAGGAAAATCGTTCTCAAGGTAACAACCACTCTTCAGTTCAAAGCCAAAAACCCACTTGTTTCCATGTATAAGGCACAACCCAACAAATTTTACTGAGCTGCAATGGCAATGTGGCAACAAAGATCCCCTCTTCGCTAGCCACCTCATTTTTATATACATTTTTTTTGGTTATTTTCCCAAATAGGTTCTGAAACTTGTTTCTCATGCAAAGCACTTAGTCACCATATCACCCTTCTGCGTGTCGCCAAATCGCACTTCCCTCTCCTCTATAAAAACCGCTACCCTATCTCTCTTCATCACCTTCTGTCTCTCTTTATCTATATCACGTATCTTCATTTTCACTGCACAAACCAATTACCTCCTCGAAGTTGTGTTATAATCACCAATGGCTGATCGTATGCAGCCGCACCAAGTGCAAGTGCATGGCTTGAAGGGTCAACAGCAGCAAGGACCATCCGCCTCCAAAGTCCTGGCTGTACTCACGATGCTACCTGTTGGTGGTGGGTTTCTTGCACTTGCTGGTATAACCCTAGTAGGCACCTTGATCGGCCTAGCTGTCACTACCCCTCTTTTTATCCTGTTCAGCCCCGTTCTGTTCCCAGCTGCCCTTGCTATAGGGTTTGCTGTAACCTCATTTTTGGCATCTGGGGCTTTGGGGCTGACAGGGTTCAGTTCGCTCTCCTGGGTTGGTAGGTATATCCTGGAGGCTACCCGGACCATGCCGGAGAGCCTTGACCAGGCGAAGAGGCACATGCAAGACATGGCAGGTTATGTGGGACAGAAGACCAAGGAAGTGGGCCAAGAAATCCAGAGGAAGGCACATGAAGGGAAATGAAATCAAGTGTGGAATAATGCTGTTTTATAAAGGTACTTTGTTGTATGTAGTTGCAAGGGATCTCCATTGTGAAGTAGGATGGGTTTGGTTTATGAGCTCTATCTTTAGAATGTGAGCATTTTGTGTTTTGTATTCTGGTTCAATTGCTGAATTTCAATGTTATTTTGTATGCATTTTGTTTTGTAATCTCTCTTTCCAGAATTTCAGGTTTCTCATAACTTGGCAGAAATCTCAATTCGGTGACTGGGTAGCGAAACTTGTCGTTAATTTATGATAGCTCAGCCACTAGAGCTCAGTTCAGTGGATTTCAAAATTCCAATTAAAAAAAAAAAAAAAAAGGAGAACAGTTCTAATGATCTCTGGGACAACGAGACAGACATTCAATGGTCTCTTGATCTTCAAGATTGTTCTACCCTTTTTCTTATTAAAATTAATCATATTTTTAGCCTTCCAAATTATTTCTTGATTTTCATTTGTCTTTCAATTTTAGAGTACCCTAACTTCTGGTAAGTTCAATTGCGAGTACGAGTAGGTATTTGGAAACTCAACTTTTAACCATGTAAGGATTTTAGGGGGATCCTATAAAATTTTTGAACAATTTGCATGTCCGGAATCAAAAGCTAGAAAGTTAAAAAGGAGATTAAATAGATGATCGCCCAAAAATAATTCAAGTATCCCTTAATCAATTGTTCTTTTTTTGCCTCGGTCCTAATTCGAAGGGTTATCAACCTGGGCAGATATGTTTCTGTTGCTCACTATTGTTTAGCAGTCATCTAAACCCAAAATCAACTTTCAAAAGTTCTAATGTTTTCCAACAAATGGAATTTCCACCATGTCTTGCTTCCACAGCGATAAATTAAAGTAAATGAATCTTACCTATTACGTGGTTTGAAGGAAAAAACAGAAATCCGGGATGGTAGTTCTCTTGCAAAGTTAATGCTGGTAAAGCATGAAAATGCAAACGTAGAGAATAGGTAAATTTCTGACGATATTTCATTAAGTTTAAATAAACAAGGTTTACTATTCAACCTATATATATATATATGGAAATTTAGCAGCTGTTTTCATTTTCTGTATTTGTTTTTAAATATTTTAAAACTAAACATAACAGGTTCTTTTTTAAAAAAAAAAAAAAAAGGTAAAATCGGAAAGCAAGTTTTGAAAACTTTCTTGAGGAAAAAGTTGATTTTCAAAACTTTTCAAACTAGAACTAGTTTTTTTTTTTTTTTTTTTGAGGAAAAAGTTGATTTTCAGAACTAGTTTTTAAGGAGCAGGTTTGAGTTCATGTCAATCGTGCTAAGTCTTCAGATCTAGTTCAAGACATTCGAGGATCTAGTTGGAGACATTCGAGATTCGAGTTGAAATCTAATCCGAATTGGCTAGAATTCGAACAAAAACTTGGTTCACAACGCTCGAAATTTTGTCTGGGATCTAGTCCGGGCCTACCAGAAGTCGGTCCAGTATCTCATTCAAGGTAAGCCTACCCCAGACCCAGTCCAAGGGCCTCGTGGCTTTGGCCAGGACTCAATCTACGACGCCGATCGCATGTGCCAAGACCCAATCCAGGTCGCCCGTGGCTTGGTCTGGGACCCATTTCAAGAAGCTCCAGATTTGGATCAAAACCCAGTTCAGGACATACAAGATTCAAGCATGGATCAAGTCCTAAGCACTCAGAGGTCAGATTGGATTTGGGACGCCCGAGTTGGGGCCGAATCGACGCTGAGGCACCGAAGATTTGAACTGACCGATTCTAGGCACCCAAGGTTCAGATTGAGACCGAATCTAGGTTAAGGATCAGTTCCAAATTATTCGATTGAAACCAAGTACAATTTTTCAAAATAAAAAACTAACCAACCAAACAAGTTTTCAATTTTTAAAATAAAAACTTAAAAACCGAAAACCTATTCAAACAAAAACGATACCAAACCGGCCCTAAATAAAGTGTTATGATACAAAGACTGAAACCCATTCAGAGACACCAAAATTTTGGCCCGACAAGGGTACATCAGGTTTTATAATGATTTCCAACCTATTGCACACGATCATGCAGTATATGATTTCATCCCACCCACTCCTAGTAAAAATAAACAAAAACGGTAACCAGGATTCATTTTTGAGATGTATGTTCAGATGGAGCTGCACCTTCGGTGTCCATGGGACGATGCTCGCCAGTTGATTTTGAGTCGTTGGGTATCCAAAATGTGAGAACTGTAGATGCAGCAACAAACATGGCACGACGAGGAGCCCATTTCAAGCATGATGCAATGCCTATGTGACTGTTCCAGCATGATACCTGCAAAAGAAACCAACTGCCATCTTAACTTCATTGGTGAATAAAGCCCTTTTTTAGTAGGAACTGGTACCTTCAGCCAATAAATTAATTCAGTACAAGTACTATCATTTTCGTAACAATCACTTGATGATAGCTTAGTCATACAGAAAAGGTTTTTGAAGAGGGAATGTGAAACTCCTAAGTTTGCAACATAATAAACAAGGAAAAATCTAATATCTCAAAAGGTTGTTTTCAAGGCCAGTAAATACCATAGTGCTTTTATGAATGTGCAAGTCTTTATCTTTTTTCTTTTTTTCTTTTTTTCTTTTTTTTCATATGCAAGTAAACGATGTTGAGGAAATTAAATTTACCGCATGGGTATCAATCCAACTAGAGGGATGACTCTCCTTGGATGCAAGGGAGAATCTACACTACTCAGGCAATAGGCACAAATACTATGCTTACTATAACTGCCACATTTAAATAGTGGCAGAATCTGAAGAATTACGGGACCTAGTATACCAACAGAAAGAAAGTGAAACTAATGAACGAGGTCATGACAGAATTCATTCACCAAATGTATGCAAAGAAGTAGTCAAAAACAAAGGTCTTTTACATCCTTGCACTATATGACTCTTTCTCAAGCGAGTCAAAGGGATGCCCAGCCTAGCCAAATTGAATTCCAGGTATGAACACCCTGTGCAATCTAAAAACTGTCAGAAAAAATATTAAGAGGATCATACCTCATTTCGCATGTTGATGTTCCAGGCATGCAAGGTTCCATCTCCTGAGCCTGTAACAGAAAAATCCATTAGCACCATTTCAGTACTCTAAATAGAAAACATCAAAAGACTCCACTGAAATTTGCATCTCACAATGCCACATTAGATGATGGCTCAAAAACCATCATGAGTTGTATTGGTGTTCATCAAACAACCCACAGCATATTATATCTATTAGTTTTTTGCGGGTAAAATGGTAATGAATAAAATTTTCAGCATTTTATTTAGGGAAATAGAACCAAAACCAGATACCTGATACCACATATTGGCCATCTGGGGTAAAAGTTGCCTCTATTTTTGTATTGGGAGATGGTTCCAAACTGAACCCACATTGCTGCATGAGGGAAACTTTAGATCGATCACTTAATCCAGACATTATACATAAACAAAACAACATACAAGGTTATTTAGAATCAAATCAACAGGATATTCAGCAGGCTTTAAGGAGATAACGAATCAGGTACTTTTAAAGACCCTAGACAGAAGTATCCAACACAGGAAGCTAACCTTTTCTCCACCATATGCATCAAGAACATAGATGTTGTTACTTGTGGTTGTCAATAGCATTGATTTGCCATCATTGCTGAATTTAATATCACAAACCTCGGCTGTATCTCCACCAACTAAAAAGGTGTCAAAGGGACCCTACAATTAGAGATTCAAGTCAAACTCAGCTGGCTGATAATGCAAAGTCAAGTTGGTGTTTCGTAGGTACGAACCTTGTCATAGGACCGTGAATCAAACAGCTTAATAGCGCCCCCTTCCATTGCCACAGCAAAGACAAGACCTTGTTGGTCATATGCAACTGTGGGTCTACCACGTAAACGCAAAATTCCCTGAAAACTATAACAGTGAGCATTAATCACAATCACTTAGAATAAATACAAGCTGTTTGTGATAGTCGATTAGTCATCTCAACTGCTGGTTATGATGCAAACCATTTGCAACTGATTTTTAATTTGTTGGGAGAGCCTCCCATCCAACTTTAATGCTAAATTAGAAACAAACCTGGCAGGCATTTACACGAAGATCCCATATTCTAACGCTATGGTCAAGAGAGCCAGACATGAAGCTATCATTGATTGGAGACATGCAGAGGGAAACAACCCTAAAACATCAAACATAGTGAATTTTTCATGTCAGCATCATGAGATGAAAGACATGTTGGTTCAAGAGATTGGAAAAGGTAAAAAAGGTGACCATCTAAACTACCCTAAATAAGACATGCCAATGCGCACATGCGATAAAATGAAATGTGAAGAGATGGCTGAAGCACCCATTTTCAGTTTTACAACATACACATGTCATCCAACTATCAGAAGGAATCGTATGAACAAAATGTTTCTGCCATCAAGGCATTGACTTATGGTAAATGGCTTAATCTGAGACCTATGAGTTGTTGTGCCCCCATCCAAATACCCCAACTACCATCAACAAGAAATAAAAACCTTTGAAACAAACTTCAAAATTTGAAGTATTCTTCCATGCTAACAAAAGAAATATGCTGTTGACTTGATTGCCATAAATCTCACAGAAATAAAATAAGAAGTTTTTGCAACAAAAAGGGATTGAAACCACAATCTGTACTCATTACAGAAGAAGCAATACCTCTCTTTATGCCCTTTGAAGTAGCGAAGACACCGATTATCATACATTGATAGATAACGTAATGATTCTGCAAAGAGAAACCAAAATAAATATGCATTCATGCATTTCCTATCACTTCCTCATATACAAAACAATGATACTATTAAAACTAAAAAGAAAGAAAGAAAATCACCCCCAGTAGAATCTAAATTGTATGTTGAGGAACAAATAACCGAGCTAGGGTGGTGCGTGAAACATATTCGATCTGCACCATGTTTCTTGTGATACGTAGTCTTTAGCAATCTGAAATTCAGTTCATATTTGCATTCTCAAAACTTAATATCTCATATGCTAAGCAACTGAATTTTTCTTCTTAAAGAAAAGGGGAAAAAAACTGACTTGGCACTTGCAATGTCGTAAAGGCGAACCGAATCATCCTCGCTAGCTGTAACTAACAAATCATCTTTTCGATGAAAATCAATTGAATTTATCTTACCCCCTGAATAAATAAATAAAAATATACAAAATCAGACACAGAGAGACAGATTAGACAGTTAAAAAGAATTGAACTGCGCTATATGTATATTAATCGCATAGCAATTAATTAAACGAAGAGACTTGCTTTTGGGAAAATTATAATTAGAGTTGAAAATAAGGAATTAGTTAATATGTAAAGCTTACAAATTCAGAGAAAACGGCTCCAATTGACATGCTGCGCACCGCATCATCATCGAGTTCTGTAAGCGACGTCGTCATGGCAATTGATGGAGTCTGAGACTGAGAGTGTTCCCAAATCACAATGGACAGGGAAGAGGGAGAAGTGAGAAGATGGAACTAACTGGGGTTTACGCAAAAACAATATATTATTTACCGCTCCTATCCTCTCCTATGTGGAATTGAGATTTCACTAAATCCTTCTCAGATATTATTTTATTGGATTTTTTTATGCATATTAAAAAAAAATGTTAATTGTTATATGTCAGCGTGTTTTATTCCTACTTTTTAAAAATACTATTTTAAAAAAAATTGTATTTGGAAAATTTTTTTTTGTGTATATATATATTGTTAGACCAAAAAAACCTATACATGATTTGAAATTGGTTATTTAATTATTTATCTCCCTGCACCTCTACTTTCTTCTTCTTCCTTTTCTAGACGTTAATTTCAAAATACATTATATCAATCCATTTTATAAATATTTTTATTGCATTTTTATTTTTTTATTTTTTTGCAAGTATTATATCTAGAAGTGAGCAGTATTAGGTTCTAACAAAAAAAAAAAAAAAGAATTGAACCGAACCACATTAACAATTTTGGTTCAATTTTTAAAGAAAAATTTGTAAAAAAAAAAAAAAAAGAATTTATTTCAATTTTTGAATTCGATTCTATTTTTAAATTTTTTTTGTTCGGTTTAAGCTGAAAATCATTTTTTTTTAATTTACATGTACATATTAAAAAGCTAAAACTTAGAAAGCTTACTAATTGCACCCTATTCACTCCACTATCCTCCAGCATTTCCTCATTTCCTTTTCTAGCTTTCTCTCAAAATTCAAACACTCCATCACCATCCAAGCTAAGCTAGCCCTCTTTGCTCCTCCAATCGCCCCTCCTCCCTCTCTCTTAGTTTTAGACAAGCCATCCTCCAAGCTCGAGGCCTCCTTCTAACATATATGTTTGTGTTTTTGGTTTTTGGAGATTTGTAGAGGCTGGTTGTTGATCAGTTTTCTGTTTGTTCTATTATTTGTGAAGTAAAATTTAAATCATTTTAAGCTAAAATGTATCTTTTAAATCTAAAATTTTATGGGTTTTTCCAAAGGTGTTATTTGGTTTGTTGATGTTTGTGTTTTGATGGTTTTTTGTTGTTTTACTCGTTTGGTATCGCTACCTAATATTATAATACTTTCAATATTGTTAGGCTAAAGGATAAGAATTAAGATTTTTTTTTTTTTTTAGTTGCTACTTAGTACGAAATAGGATTAGAAAACCTAATAAAGGTACCGAATTCAGAAATTTCAAGTAAGAATTGATTATGTCTTTGGAAAGATAATAATCACCAAAAAACATCATTTTTAGGAAAAAGAACCAGATTTAATCTAATTCTATAAGTGTCTTTTAAAAAATTACGTTTGTCAAATTATTTCCTAAGTCTATTTCGAAGTTTGTTTATCATTTAAGTCAAATTATTTTTTTATTATTATAAAATCATATTAAATTGAAGTTTGGCCCTAAGATTAAGAGTATCGTCAATTTAGGTTCGAATCTAATTACGGCTCGACATTACCGGCATGTCAAGAAATGACTTAAATAACTCGTGGATGTTTGACTAACTTACATACATCTTATTAATTAACCTTTTCCATCTTGATTTTTTTTTTTTTTGATAACTTTTATCCGAGGTGAGATTAACATCAATCCCTATTTAAATAAAAGACTAGCTTGTTAATATGATCTAAATCTTCTACCTATCCTAAGATGATATTTTCTTTTCTTCGATATTAATCAAACTTGATATGAGATTGTTATCAATCCTTAGAATTTAGGTGACTCGATAATTCTACAATTGACTCGATATCCTTCATTCAAAAGTAATCAATATCAAACCACTTCCTAAAATTATGAAATTTTAACAACTATTCAAGATTATTTATATGTACAACACAAAAAAAAAAAAAAAAAAAAAAAATTCAAGTCAAAATATTATGAGTAACTCTATCAAATGAAAGGAAAGCCAAGACAACCATTTTCCAAATTTAAAATATAATGGAAAAATGAAGAAATTACAAATAAATATCAAATGCTGTTCTAAAATTATGAAATTTTAAAAAATAAACTAAGAACATTCATATGTACAACATATAAAAATTACAGATTAAAATAATTTAAGTAGATCTGTAAATGAAGAAAATCCAGAACCAACCCTAGGATTAAGATTCTGCCAATTTCACCTGTAAATCCATCCACATAAGGACATAATTGCAAGAAGACCTTGTTATTAAACACTAAACTGAAGAACCTAAGTAATTCCAATGGTCAAACTCCAAACTAAAATACCTCCTAAAATCAGTATGAATGACAGTAGCGGAGACTAACTTGTTATTCTCCCATTCGATTATCCCTTTAAAACACCAACCACTCGACATACTTGTTTTTCATTTACCCATCCTGGTGTCCAGTATGTGTTCGAAATCTTGCACTATATCCAATCTTTATCACACGCACAGAGACTAGAACTCACATTTTATTTATGCAAATGACGTTAAAACATATCTAAATCATACGCCCACAACAACCCTATTTTGTGTAAATGACAGACTCCTCGCTATCTCTTGCTAGCATGCTAAACCAAACAAACCATGCTTCACTTCACATGGGATATACCATCATCATTATTTTGCTTTTATTGTCCAAAGCTTGAAAGTCGTTGCAGCCAAACATGGACGCAGATTTCTTTAAGGTTTGAGATATACCTAATATGGAGTGAGAGTTTGTCAGGCTTTAAATCGATCCTCTGGCCTTCTCTTCTAATCATCAGATAGTTTACTCTAGCAGTTTCAAAAGTCTGTCAATGGAAAGTGATATCAACAGTAACGAAGGATCGAAATATGGCACCGACGATCAAGGAAAATAAAGGATCTCCCCAAAACCACGAAAACAAAAAAGAAAGCGGTCTCTTTTTCTTTTAGTATCACCCGAATGTAGAGATAGATTAGAAAAATCCTTCTAGTTCCTAAACCTTTCGCCTTTTTTAAGTTCTAAGAACAGAGAGCTCCCTAGAAAACCCAAAAACCAGAATCCTCTCCAGCCTCCTCTTTTTCATTTTTCTTCACCCTTATATTCACTCTCAAGACTCATTCTTAACCTTCTGATCTCTCAAAAACCATCATTGCCCTTCCTTTTTTAGGAGTACGTAGGCAGCTCTTTCTCCTTTTTATTTATTTATTTGCTCTTTCATTTTTTTCCTACCCTAACGTCATTTTTTGTAGCTTGAAGCCAAGAATCAAGGAACACGGGTGGCTTGTTTTGAACTAAAGGATGACACTAATGCAAGGCTAGTTGCTTAGGAGAGAGGAAAACCAAAACAAACTACCAACTTGTTTTTTTTTTTTTTTTAGCATCAGAAAACATGCCCTTCGAGGAAAACATTTAAGTTTGTCCTATCGTCAGCTTTCTTTCAATTTTTATCCTTTCATGTTTTAATTTTCTTCGATTGAGCCCCTCCGTTTAGATTGTTTCAGTCCTTTTGGTCCTAATTCATGTGAACTAGCCCTTAAATCATTTTAATTTGCTCTCCTAAAATTCTTGGCATTCGTGAATTGACCCACAATACTTTCAAAATAATTACAATTAAAATCCTTGGTAAAAATTCAAAATTAATTCTTTTTTCTTTTTGCTTTCATTTTCTCTTTTTCAATTTTTTGTTTCTTTATTTTTTTATGACAAAACAATAAACATAATTAAACAAAAATAAAAGCTAATGATAAAACAAATAATAACAATAATAGTAATAACAATAATAATAAATTCATGGGAAATGTACACTATATAAATAAAAAAATTATAAAAATAAAAGATCTAAAATAATTATGAGGTAAAAATTTGGGTTATGACATTTGGTATTGGTGGGGATTCAAATGGATCAAGAATTAGCATATACGGAGACAAAAAAAAAAAAAAAAAAGGGTTTAAAGAATGAGGTTTTGGTGCATTTTACAATATTTAATTATGCTAACTTATTAAATTTTAGATTTTTAATAGTTTCGATGTTGATCTAGTTTTTGATTTCTAAGATCTATGCTAGCTCAACATTAATTTTTAGTTATGTTTGATGTTGATTTAGTTTCGGTTTCTAACACTCGTGTTAAAGGATGAATCCGACCTTCGATATGTGATTTGTAAGATTAAAATAAATATATAAATTTGATAAGCTCATTGAATTTTCTTTTCCTTTTCTATTAGGATTGTGACCAACAAATCAATTGAAGCCAATGATAGGAATCCTTACCTCCCATCAAAGGATTCAAAGACAAAAAATATGGCATCATTTCAAACAAACTCATCTTCGAGAATCATAAAAACTAGACATATAATTTGCTATCTTATTTTGCCTCATTTTCTAATTTTTTGGCCTATTTTAAAAAACTAAAAAAATCAAAAATCAAAAAGGGTTTAAATCAAAAATCGAACTCGAAAATTTGATTTTTAAACTAAAAAATCGAATTTTAATTTGATTCGAGTTTGTTTTCTATTTTTTATGGTTTGATTAACCGAAATAGTAAGAAATTAAATTTAATAAAAAAAACTATTTATTTACTTCTAATTATATCTAACAATTTGTGGTCCAAACATAAATTTCGTAAAAAGATGTTTTAAATGGTATATGGCATCTTTTACACCTTTTCCCTTTTTTAGAATTTGATAATAAGTAACACATAATTTAGTTTAATTATACTTTAACATGGACAAAAAAAAAAAAAGAACTATATGCGCTTCAATTATGTTATCAAATTATTTTCAATTATGTCATCAAATTATTTGCAAAAATACTTTTGGACGGATCGGGTCAACATACATGTTGTCATTTTACGAGCATGTTTAGGATATATTGATTATTTAATCGATGATTGTTAAGACACATCTCTGCTTGCTTCCACTTCACACGCCTCTGTTACTTCCACTATCGCAAATGATTCATCACGACTCACACCTCTGCCTAGTTCCGGTATGCTATTGGACTCTTCCAAGCACAGTTTATGCCTCTGTCTAGTTACTAGTACGCTACTTGGACTCTTCCATTATAGCTACTTGTTGTGAGGTGTTAGGCCGCAATTCTCGCACCTCTATCTTCAAAGTCTCCTACATGTACTTAGTATATTAGATGATATACTCCTTTCGTGCATCAAATATATATTTGTAGTTATCTATTGTAGCAACCAATATATATATATGTACAAAGCATCATAATGAAATATAAAGAGAGAAAATATTTTTTACACGGGACCAAAAGAAGTCGTTACATTGCTTCTTATTCTCCGTTGTAGTTTTAAGTTAGTATCGAGCACAAAAGGCATCACCGTCATCTCCTCTCCCTATAACGTCCCTCCTTCGTTTTTTTCCCACACTCTACTTCCTACTCGTTGCATGTTTTTTCTTTTCTTTCCAACAATTGCCTACTTTTGTGTTTTCTTCCTTATAGAGTAACACCGAGATAACTACCTCAAGCAATACCTCATCTCCTACTAATACTATTGCAACTACCGCAAATCAACTCATCCCCTCTATTCCATTAACCCCCTTAAACAACTCTCACCATTTCTTATCCCCGAAACTCACACACACCAATTTTCTCCTATGGCATGATTAGCTCAAACCCTTTCTCCTTGGTCGAAGGCTATATGGCTTCATTGATGGATCACACCTATATCCTCCTAGACACCTTACTACTGTCGAAACAAACACTTCACAAATTAATCCAGCCCACACCTAATGTCCTCCCTATGATTATTGATTGGACCACCTCCCAATAGGTCCGGTCCGCCTTGAATGAGCTCCCGCCTCTCCCTCTAATACTCGAATCATGTCCCTCCATCTTGGATTACAAAAACCTTCACCAAGAACCCACGAATCGTCTCCTAATTCTTACATCGTGTAAAAACATACGAGTGATAAACTCTCTGTAGTTGATCAACTCCTCTCCCGTATTGACTTCAACCTCTATATCTTTAAGGGGTTGTCTAAAAACTTCAAACATATCATCACCTCCCTTACCACTAGAACCGACCCCATTAACTTCGCTAATTTACACAGCTTTCTTGTTAGCCATGAGTTTCTCAACCGTCACACCTTCTCTCGCTCACTCCTTCACAATAAGTTTGGGTCTATTACTCACCCCACCAATTGCTAACATTATCCACAAAGCTAGTAACACCACCTTTGATTGACCTATAGCCTATAACCGTGTCGAGGTTGCTCTTTTTGATAGCACGACCATGGAAGATTCACTCCTAGGTATAAAAACAATGCATCATCCGACCATAAAGGCACTTAGTCCTAATCCGACAATCACACAAAGTGCTAAATTTGCTCATCTTGGCTTTACATTACTCGCTCTTTATCGTCGGTGACATCTTAACTCTACTCCACCTTTAGCACACTTCACTTCGTGTCATCCTTAATTTGTTCCGCACCTTTTTGGTGCCCCGATACTAGTGCCTCTCATCACGTGACACCCGATTTGTCAAGCTTTAGCACCTATAAACCATACCATAGATCGGATCATCTCCAAATTGGCAATAGTGAGTTTTTTCCATTCGAGCATATTGGCATTTGTCATATGCACACACGAACCTAAACTTTACAGACTTCTTAATGTCTTACATGTTCCTCAAATAACTAGACTATTATTGTCTATTCAAAAATTAGCTTATGATAATAATCTGTTTGGGGAGTTTCACCCTTCTACTTTTTGTCTAAAAGATCATGAACATAAGACAACGATTTTGTCGGCCGGAGTGATGATGATCTATATAAGTTAACTCCTTCTTCCTTTCATAGCCGTCCGTAAGTCAATTCGCTTTATCTCCGTAAATGTTTGGCACTCCAAGTAGGGTCACCCCAATCACGTAGTTCTAAATTTTGTTTTAAAAAACATTCCTTGCCTTTCGTGTCAAAATTATTTAGCTTTTATTTATCATGTCCGTAAGGAAAAACACATCGTCTTTCGTTCCCATCTTCCAAAAATACTAGTTCTAAAGCCTTAGATTTAATTTTTAGCTATCTATGTGGTCCTTCACCTACTATACCCACTAAAGGTTAGATATATGATGTTATATTTATTAATCATTATTCGAAATATATTTGATATTTTCCTTTAAAAAGAAAATCATATGTGTTTGACACTTTTCCGAAATTTCAAAAAATGGTTGAACACCAATTTAATTGTCAAATAAAATAAGTCCAAACTGATTGGGGTAGTGAATTTCGCACTTTAAATAAAATTTTTCAATCCATTGGCATTATTCATCGTACCATATGCCCCCATACATATGAACAAAATAGGATCATGGAAAGACGACACCGTCACATCATGGAAATTAGCCTCATTTTATTAGGTAAAGTATGTGTCCTTCAAAGATTTTGGCATTATGCTTTTGAAATTGTTGTTTTTCTCGTAAATCATCTACCCTCGAGTGTAACCATGCATAAATCTTCGTTTCAAATTATTTTAAAAAAACTACCAAATTATTCATTTCTAAAAATTTTTAGATGTCTCTTTTTTCCTTCTTACATCTCCACAACAAATACAAAATGGATTTTCGCTCCGCCTAGTGTGTCTTTCTTAGGTACAACCCTACCCACTTAGGATATCGATGCCTTGATAGAAAAATAAATCGTATTTACATTATCCGTCATGTTTGTTTCATTGAAATAATTTTTTCATTTGTAGAGCAAATCAACTCCACTTTTACTTTAATCCAAGTCGCCCCTTCCACTATGTGGGCTTGCTTTCTAGTTCACAATCCGTGTGTTACATATGAAGATCATCATAATTTTGTGCCATCACTTGTTCCATCTCATGTGTCTCCATATAAAACCACGAGCATGTCCCCAAACATACACCTATTGCCCCTCCACATGACTCGATTTGATCGTCACCTACACCACCAAAATTGACATGCCTACCAAGCCCTCATATATACCTTATAACGAAAAGCATAGCCACCCCAATGAAAGACCAGCTCATAGCCTTCAAACAACCCAACTCTCAGCTCGTTATCACTACCAAGCCAAAGCCTCTCCACCCTACCACCACTTTAAGACCAAACCTAGCCTCGTATGTGGTTTCAACTAACCAAAACATCCACCACTTATCACCCTCACCTCACAACCACACATTTGACTCTCCCTCATCTTTCCTCTCTCTTATCTCTTTCCCAAAATCACACCGACCTACTACCTCATCCAATGAATTAAACCTTGTCCTAGATTTCAAGCAACTACACTTTAGACCAATCAAACACCCAACCTTTCCTAACCGAACCGTCACGAACCCACCTCATGATAACCCGTGGAATGACAAAGCTAAGTAAGTAGAATGCCTTCATTGCCACCGTCCAACCAGCCATTCTAGAATCACCTTCTTACTACTCGAAGCATGCTAACACTTACCATGATGTAAGGCTATAGTAGCTAAAATCTTAGCTTTTCTCCCTCCCTCTTCTTCTTTGAATATTATTGAGCGTGAAATGGGTCTTCGTGACTAAAAACACGAGCAAATGGAAGCATTGAAAGACACAAGACTAAATTGGTTACAAAGGGGTATAATCAACAAGAGAGGGTAGATTATGAGCAAACATTTAGCCTAGTGGTAAAACCTACAACAAGCCCTTTCTGTGTCATTCGATTGGGAAAATGTTCATGATGCTTTTTTGAATGGAACCTTAAATGAATTAGTATATATAACACAACCTACAAGATTCGTGAATGCAAACTATCCTCACCATGTCCGCCACTTGTACATGTCACTCTACGAGCTCAAATAGTTCCCTAGAGCTTGGTTCTCGTACCTCATAGATTTTCCGATTAATTTTAGGTTTTGTAGGTTCCAAAATAGATAACTTTTTTTTTCATTTATGATTTCACAAGTTACGGAATCTTCTTGTTGGTCTATGTAGACGATATTATTATTGTAGGGAATAACTTTTATTTCTTGCAAGCATATTCTTCACACCATGAACTCGAAATTTTCCACTAGAGATCATGGTCCCTTAAACTTCTTTCTAGGTATCGAGGTCATTCACACCAAAAATGGCATTCTACCGTCACGAAGAATAATACATTTTGGACTTCTTAGCTAAGCATAGTATGACCATTTGCAAACCAATCTCCATCCCAATGCCTACTAGCTCCAAGTTGATAAAAGATTTAGCTAAAGCCTTTAAAGACATTACATTATATAGATAAGTTGTCGAGGCTTTGTAATATATAACTCTTACCCGTCTAAACATCACTTTTGTTGTGAACAAAGCGTGTCAATTCATGCATGTTACGACCACTAACCATTAGATTGTCGCCAAATGCATCCTCGGATATCTCAAACACACAACATCTTTTAGTCTTCACCTACGCAAACAAGTTGTCTCATGTCCTTATCAGTTTTTCAAATTAGGATTAAACTAGCTCACTCGGACGACGTAAATCTATAATCGGCTACATTGTTTATCTTAACCCTAATTTGGTATCTTAGAAGTCATTTAAATAAAAGATAATTACTAAGAACTCCACTAAAGTAGAGTACAAAGTTGTTGCTGACTTAGCTATTGAAATGAATTGGGTAACTTCCCTCCTTAGCAAGCTTGGGGAGATATTGCCTTTAAAACATGTCATTTGGTGTGATAATATTGGGGCTAAATATCTAGCGATAGAACCCCTTTTCCATGCAAGGACCAAGCACAAAGAAATTGATTTTTATTTTATTAGGGACATGGTGTCAAAAGGGAAACTTTAGGTTATGTTCATATCCATCCAAGATCAAATTGTCGACATCCTTACCAAGCCATTATCCATTTCTTGCTTCATCTTTTTACGTGATAAACTCTCCGTGCATACAAGACCATATTCAATTTGTAAGGGGTGTTAAGACATATCTCTATTACTTTCACTTCACACGCTTTGCTACTTTCACTACCGTAAAGGATTCATCATAACTCATGCCTCTACCTAGTTTCGATACGCTACTCGGACTCCTCTAACATAACTTATGCCTTTGTCTAGTTCCGGTATGCAACCGGACTCATCCATTACAAGCGATTATTGTGAGGTGTTGGGTTCGTCGCTCCTACACTCGTATCTTTAAAGTCTCCTACATGTACTTAGTATATTAGATGATAAACTCCTTCTATGTATCAAATATATATTTATAGTTATCTATCGTAGAAACCGAGTATATATATATATACGGAGCATCATAATGAAATACATAGAGAGAATATTTTTTATACGTAACTAAAAGAATTTGTTGCATTGCTTCTTATTCTCTCGTTGTGATTTTAAGTATGATCAACGATAAAACGGAAAGTGGTTACTAAAGTTCAACTAATATTTTCTTTATTATTGTTATTTCAAGTTATTTAATTATTTCCAAGTGTTTCAAATATAAAACCCCCTCTTTATTACTTTTACACTATAAGAACAATCAAATGAAAAAAAAGATCAATTATGCCTCATTCGTTATGATTTCGATTCTTACTTACCATAATTACACTATTATGGTTAATGTTTCGTGAGGATATTATAAATTTATAATATATTAGTGGTATGACACATCATCAAATTTTGGAGCCACTATCGTGGATTACGGTTAAAGTTGATTATTATTAGATTTTATTATTATTCTTGTGTTTTGGTTATTATTGGTACATGACTAGGTCTCAACCGGAAGAGCTAATTTTTAACCTCAAATCAAAAAAGAATTTAGCAAGTTAAGGAAGGAGGTTAACTTTGATTGGGAGGATTGAGTCCTCTATAAGGGTGGTTTTATTAGGTATAACCATGGTTATTGAGTTCTTATCGTCAAGCGACTCGAAAGGAGATAACATGACTACAAACCGGGCAAATAGGACATTAAAAGAGTTGGTCGCTTCGATCTTAATCAATATCCCCTATGTATTAAGTTCTCGAATTTAGAGATGGTATTTTAAGTTAAAATCAAGACCGATACACTCGCTTTTAAAATTTCAAAGTCTAGTTAGAGAAAACCCCCATAAACATTTAAAGAATTCCATGTAATCTGTTCAACCATAGGACCATAAGGAATATCATAGGATCATATTAAGTCAAGGGCATACCTTTTTTGCTAGATAGGGATGTTAAGGATTGGTTGTATAATCTCCGTGTGGAATCATTTGACTCGTGAAATAAGATAAAGCAAGGATTCCCAATGAAGTACTTTTCTATTTCAAGTGGTCGCGAGTATGACGAGTTGATAGTCATAGTAGCAGATGAAAAATCCTCTCTTATTATTGGCTTGGGTAAAGTTACATATAATGATTTAAAGTTAAAGTCGATCCTCTCGTGTGCCTAATTTACAATCTAATCTCTTTTCTATTAGTACGTTAACTAAAGATCTAAATTGTGTAATAACCTTTTATCTCACTCATTATGAATTTTAGTACTGTCTTTGGGGAAGATGATCGATAATGTTGAGGAATGAAATGGCATCCATTACTTTATTAGCTCTCTATTCGAACCTATCTCTTAAGAAACTTTTCACGGTTAGTATTTCTAATTCTCATGTTATTTTATAGCATAAATACCTTGTCCATCCTAGTTTTAAGCATTTAAAGTCTTGTATCTAAATCTATTTTTCAACAAAGATCGATCTTCTTTTCAATATTAATGTTGTATTTATAAAAAACAACCATAAAAAAATTATCATGCTCATTCTTATCGATCATTAAAGCCATTTCATCTTATACATAGTGATATTTGGGGGCCAACTTGATCCTCAAATATCATAGAATCAAAATGGTTTGTTACATTTATCGATGACTATACTCATGTCCGTTAGGTCTATCTTTTGAAAAATAAATCTGTAGTAGGGTTCGTTTTCAAATAATTTCACAAGCTTATAAAAAATCTTTTTCACTCATTTATTCAACTTCTCTATATTGATCATGGAAAAGAATACTTCACACATGAACTAAAAGATTATCTTATTGAAAATGGTATTTTTCATCAAAGCTCATGTGTTTATACCCTCAAACGAACGTAATTACAAAACAAAAAAATCGTCACCTTCTTAAAGTAGCTTGTACACTTACATTTACTAGTCATATCCTATATTTTTTTTAGGAGAAGTCGTGCTTACTCGCTACCTATCTAATTAATAGGTTTCCTTCAAAAAAACCTTAAATTTAGCACTCCTCTATTCCATTTACAAAAAAAATTTCCCTTACATTCGTGTCCTTAACTTGCTCCCTTTTAAAGTCTTTGATTGTACTCGTCTATGTCTAAAACATGAGTCCAAATTATGAAAAACTAGACCCCGAGGCAATTAAATGTCTCTTTCTTGGCTACTCTCCTACACAAGACAAATACAAGTGTTACCGTCCTTCTTCTAAACACTTCCTAGTCTCCTATGACGTAACATTCTTTGAACATCGTAGTTACTAAACCAATGATTCTCTTCGAGGGAGAAATCTAATGAAGAAAATCATTTGGATCCTTTTATTTCTCTACCCATCTCCCATTCGATCCCTCGGTGCCTCAACTTACATCCCAATCCGAACCCACTCGGTGTATAGTTCAAGGGGAGAAACAGATCACCTATCTCAAGATTAGGGTGAACCTTTTGTTTATTCAAGGAGACCATAAGTTCCTTTCCAAATCCATTCATCAAAACTAGAGGCAACTCCTTTTATAAAAATTCCACCAAACGAAGGTTCTATAAGATCGTATTACAACTAAGTATTCAATTTCAAATTATCTTTCATATTACAAGTTGTCATAAAATTATAGGGTATGTATTTCATAAATTGATAGTGCGAGTTCCCCACAACCATTTATGGTGCCCTAAGGGACTCAAGATGGACAACTATTATAATAGAGGAAATGAAGGCATTGGAAGATAATAAAATATAGGAGTTAGTCAATCTTTCTAAAAGGAAGAAACTAATTATATGCAAGTGGATTTTTATCATTAAGTTAGGGTCAAATAGATAGATTAAAAGATATAAAGCGAGGTTAGTCACTCAAGGTTACACACAAACCTATGTCATTGACTAAGATAAAACATTACTCTAGTAGCAAAATTAAACTCTATTCAAGTTCGTTATCTCTTATAACCAATCTAGATTTGAAATTGCACCGAGTGGATATCAAGAATGCCTTTCCGAATGGTAGTCCGAAGGAAGAAGTGTAAATAAAATTGCCTCCTAAATTTGAAAGAGATAAGAAGCTTGGTACTGTATGCAAGTTAAAGAAATCCCTTTATGGTTTGAAACAATCTCCTCGAGCTTGGTTTACTCAATTTAATGTTGCTATGAGATAGTTTAGCTATAAGCAAAGACAAGTTGATCATACTTTATTTGTGAAGCCAACAGATAATGGAAAGAAATCGATTTTG